TATGAAAATCTTGTCCCTCTCTATATATTTCAGGAAAAATCAATTGAAAATCGGAGAGGATTTTTCAAAGATTTTTGATCATTCTAAAATTCACTAGCTATTTCTCACAGTTTGTTGTTGGTCTTCCTGTGGCCTTAAACAGTTAAAAACTAAACAGGATTTATACAGGACCATATCTTGGCTATATTTAAAAACATTTCTGTCAGGAAGTTCCGGTAATCAGTCTTTTTTGTTATACAAAATTAAACGTCTTCAAATACGCCCCGTAAACTACATAAAATACGTGCCATATCCAATAATATATACTCCTAGTGACGTCACAGTTCCGTTGACATTATAACCCAAGGAATATTCGAGAATAATTAACGACTATCAGTACGTGATGTTAAGATTGCGATAAAATTCATGTAATTAGAAATATGATGTTCCTCTGTGTATTAAAAAAATGTTATACGATTTGTTTTACTTCGAGTTAGAGTCCAATAAAGGTCAATAAAATGTTCTATTTACTTTTAATTTATCCGGTGCCGGATTTATTCATGTTTTAGAGAGCGTTTTTCATGTGAAATATGTTTGATAGCCAGTTTTTCTTCTTATGAACTTTTTAGATATTGAAAGGTGTATTTAGCGCAGGACTATAGTCAGTCTACTAGTAGGCCACAAAAAACTATAAAGTTCACTCAGCCATTTTGAAAAGCAACCGAGCCTTTGCATCAAAGTGAGAGAGTAGATGGCAACCTGCGCGAATGAAGTCCTATGTGTGAAAAAACTTTTGATCAATAAATACAATATACCGTAAGTCCTATATTGTTATTATCTTGAGGGATCCTTTTGTCCAAATTATTTTTTCAAAGTGAATAATAAAAACTAATTTGTTTGATAAAAAATTCATATATCAACAGTTTAGTCATATCCAGAATTTCTTTGTAGTCATAATTCGAGAGGAGTTTTCCAATCGAATTGTCATGATTTCTTCAGAACCATTCTTGAGAACGAATCAAGGTGAGACTAATTTGTCTTTGATCTAGAGTTTCCAGTTATATATTTCCACGACATTTTGTGCAGAAACGTGCATCGCTAGGCGTGACCGAGATATATAGGGAATGCTATTTACTCGCTTTTGCTTGTTTTGAACGACTCTTGTCAGCTGCCGTCCCCTGTTCTATCCTTCACAACTTAGARTTTTTTAGAGAGGACAAGGAATTTGCTCTCATTCAAACCGCCATTTTGAAACAATACTGTCGGGGCAAAACTGCGGTTTTAACAGCACATTTTTAATTGATTTTTCGATTCAACTTCCTCACTATCATAAATAAGTACTATCTAAGGTCGTAAAAAATTGGTTTTATTCCAAGCTCTATATTGCTTTAGAAAAAAGAAATAATTTATTAAAGCAAAGCACTGAAGAAAAAAGAAAAAAAAACCTGTACAAAGACGCCATTAATCATCATGATATAGTTCAGATGACAGGCTTTACTAAAACTGATTGCTTTTATGAGAAAAGAGAAATCAGTTCCTGTCTGTAAAAAAAGAACTGTCTCGTTATATAACCGATATGTATATAACCCTTTTTGATATCGTGTCTCTAGCCATAAACTGGTACTGAATTACTAGGACAATTGTAAGCAATAGTAGATAACAGCAGAATTAAATTCACAATATTTTTAGCAAAGTTATATCAATTATTGGTATTTCAGAGAATATCAGCTCTCTTGAAACAAGCACATGTTCTATGCCAGTATTTGCTCTTAATAGTTATAATTTGAATTTCTTTTGAGTTTGATAAAGTAAAAACAGTGCCAGCATGTTGCTTCATATTTGAACTTTTATACTCACGAAATGTTATATTCTTAAACTAAAACTACGTTTTTTTCGCAAAAATATTAATCCCTACCGTTCACCTGAAGTCAATCTGCCACAAGTACGACGCATTTGACCATATATTGCTTCTGCCTGCGCTTCAAATACAGCTAATATAACTTGCTGTTTATCGTGTTGAAACGATGGTTATCCTGCCTTGTATTTAAGAACTGCCAAAATGATTAAGCCAGGTAAATATTTTCAGTAGAAATGCAATTTATGAAATCTCTGATGCTGGCAAGCGAATGACAACGCAGAACCTCATAGGCGGTAAYCCCTGTAGGGGTCGGTGAGAATCATCTACAATTGACAGTTGTCATGATAATAAATCGCTTTATTTAAGATCAGCATGCAAGGTATTGGGCAATCGCAAACTTAGTTTTCTATTAAAATCTCATTTGGAAATTCCATGTACAAAATTAAATGAATGTAAAATAATTGTAAATTAAATTGTACAATACAGCAGGGTGTAATAAACACTTTGGTTTTGACAACCCGTCGCGATTACTTCATCTGTATATATATCTAGTGAAAAACTGAAATGAGTAAAATTCTCAATTCATCAAATAGAACCTCTTAGCCATAAGAGACAAATAGTRTCGAAAATTGATCACAGATAAAAGGATACTCAACAATAAATGCCGTCTGAGTGCTTTAAGTGCCCAATAAATGCTCAATGTCATAAGACTAGTCAATTCTATCACCTCCTTGGTGAAAAGAGTTAAGCAAACGCAAAAGGGTTGAAATTATAATCTTTATCGGCGTCGTTTTATTGCTTTTAATAAGAAAACAAAAGTAATGATGCTTCGACAAGTTGTAACAAGGCAGAAACAAATCGTACTTATTACCTAAATATCGTTTGTATATATCTGATGGCAATGTATATGAACTACACCATCATGGAATTGATAATCAATACTCCTCTTTTTAAGTTTGCCTTATGCAAATTTGTTTTGTTTTTAGATATGGTTTCCAAATAAAAACGTCTAAAAACTTATATGTATTAACTCGTGATTCTAGTTGATTTCATGTTGAAAATGAAAGTCAGCTTCAACTGTAAATCAGCATCCAGACGCAAATAAAGAATTAGTCAGAGAACTACCATTGTCATTTTTATCAACAAAAGCCACTTAACACACATTCAAACTACATTTGCCTCCATCAACGGGAAATATATTGCATTGGAGTCGTATAGTCACAGTCCAGTGGCGGATCCAAGCATGATTGCTTTTTAAAACGGGGGTCCACATCTCTGTTATTTAGCAATTAGGTCGGGTGGATTATAAATTAAAAGACTATGAGGACGTACTTTTGTAAATATAAAAAGATTATTATTTCTTGGTTTACTGTAAACACAAAGTAATTACTCTRATAACGTTTTAATAAGAAACCTTGCCTAAGGTCACGAAAATATCAGCTTTTGAGATATAATAGTTATAATAATCATTACTGTTTTCAATGTAAGGGACGTTACCTTGCGGGTATTCAAAGACGTTTTGTATTAGAATCATTCTAATATTAGTACTAGTGCCAAGCCCTTTGGCCGCGGAAAATATGACGTCACGTTTCCCATAGTCCACCTCGACTTGCAAGGTGATTGTGTGGGTGGATCCATCAACATGTGGCTCGCCTGCCTACAGCTAAAATGTAATGAACTAAAAAATATGAACAGGCATAACCTAAAGTAGCACGTGTCTGCAAATGGAAGAAAAAAATGTTATTTCCTCTTAATGTCCAAGAAATGGAGGGACAGGAAAGCTATTTTTCACTTAATAGATATGAATACCACATTAGATACCTGATTCACACATATTCAAAGTAAACACCTCAAAGCTGGCACGGTAAACATTGTTATAACCACTGTCAATAGTCAGTATTTTTGCAAATTGTTCTCATCACGAATTTTTAGACCGACCTTTTGATTGTAGTTCCAACGCCTTGTCAGTTGTAAACATTGCTTTTTCATCTAACAAGTTATACAATGCATCTACATGTACTAGATTTTAGTGACAATTTACACTTTAAAAATTATCATTTTTCAAGTTTAAAGAACCTTAGGGTTGTTCGCGTCTCTCCATCGGCTGCCTCGATGTTGTATTTTAATAAAACTTGTTTCTCTCTGATTACAACAATTTGTAACTTTAGCCCTTAGTTTGTATTTATTATTTTTTTCTCTTATGGTTGTTGTTTATTACAAGTCGTTATGCTCTCAAACCGTTTTCAGTCGAGGACCCGTCTGAGCATGGATTTATTAAAGAAGCATTCGTCTAAGTATTCTAACATGTCATGGTTTCACTTAAACGTACTTTAAGAAGTAAGATTTAATACTTTAGATCATACCATGGTCACATAATTACTCATCAAAGGTAAATAGATCCAGTGACAGTACTATCCATTATAAGTACGAAATGGAATTATGGTTTGAATGAGGAATTAGACTTGTGTTCTTGATTAATAGTTTGTAGAAACTAATTTGAGTATTTCATTCCACTTAAAAGGTTTGACGTTAGTCTATTACTTCCTTATATTGCTGCGAAATGTTTTAGTTAAATTCCTACCTTATTTCTTTCTCCCTAGATGCACTGTAATTGTTTACCCGCTGTTTCATTCCCTACTTTCCTTATTTCTATTTTTTCGTCTTATTTTATTATCTAATTGTTCATATTTTTAATTTTCGTGACCGCTAGCTTCTCAATTCTTTCATTTTCGTGCAATTTTTTTCATTAGACTTTGATCAGTTTCATGCAGCTTTCAAATTACCCTTATCAAATTCTATTTCCTTTTCCCTTGTACTTTCCATAATTAATTCTTCTAGCGAAAAAAATGATACTCTACTAGGAAGGAACTGCATTTCTTACACGATGTCAGTAATTACCAGAGMAAGAGGAAATCCAAATGGAACTAATTTACCACACAAGTAATGAGTATAATGTTTCTCTTTTTATAACCAAAAGATAGCAAACGCGCGTATAGCGACATATCAATCTAGATATCAACATGTCAAGACTATGAAGTAATGTTGGATATGATATTAGCTTGACGAAAAGAATAGAATATAGCTTGACAATTATAATTTCAGCTGCTGAAATAAGGTGTATTGGTTTTAGATGCTTGCTAATCTTGCGTATTTGTCTCCACAGCCTGGAGAACACGTCCTAGTGTTGACGTCCATATAGGAAGTAAGCGTACAAACTGACGCCAAGATTGACAACGTCAGCTCTTGTTTCAAGTTAAAAGCCAAATGTACGACTTTGAACGTGCAGAGGAAAGAATTACACCTGATAGATAGATTTATGACTCCAAGAAAAGCGAATAGCTGACTACTCAGTGAAAGCACTGCAAGTTAAAAAGGAACTAATTGCGTTGCGGAAGAAAACCACAGTTTGACAAAAGCTTTATAGCAAAAAGAATGTTAATGAAACCATCATCCTACCAATTTCAAGCTTAACTTCAAGTTACAAGATAAGTTTGAGAATCTTAATCAAGTTGAAGAGAGATATTACAGCGTAAAAGCACAATCTTCATGAAACTTATTAGGAATTTTTGCAACCTTCAAACCTTTGATACTGTAAGAGCAGCGTAAACCTTCAAAAACGCGAATGGCTGAACCATCAACCAACTAACAGGCTTCATTACATTCTAAAAGGAATTTTACAGTTTGACAAGTCGCTTGAAAGAGATAAAAGGAATGATACTATTTACCAATATTCATGTCACTTTACAACTCAAAGAATAGYGACCAGAAATCGCTTGTACATACACTAATCTAAGTTCTTTTCTTGTCGAAGAATTCCTCTTTACTTTGGATTGATGATCACAAGTTTAAGCCTAGCAAAAGAGCTGAAACAAAGAACAAAGAACACGTTTTATCAAGAAATATAGCTGTTTTCTTGAAGAGGGGATTCCAACTAATCAGCTGTTGTTGATACTGTAAGACTTTAAGCCAACCAAAGAGGGGATTATCTGTTGATTGGGATAAATGACCAATAATCACAACATCAAATACACAYCAAGCAAATAGTTAATCAAAACAAGAAGACTACAATCTTGTTCACAATGAATAACAGTACTAATACAACAGGACCAACTATACCATCGCCATCCGAAGCAGAACGAATTTTCAARGTAGTTTTTTACGTTTTTCTRTTCATCACRGGAACTATTGGGAACTTACTTGTGGYGGTAATTATCAAAGCCAAAAACAAGCATAGAACAGTCAACGATTATTTCATCTTAAACCTTGCTGTTTCTGATTTAACATTTCTATGTTTTGCACTACCATTTTATTAYTATGAGCTTTTTGAGAAATTTGAGAAGTTTGAGTTTTATTGCAAGTTTGTCTGGCCAATGATGTCAATCACTTTGCTTGTTAGTATTTTTACTTTAACTCTTATGGCTGTGGAGAGATGCAGGGCGATACTGTTTCCTTTTAGACCTCGTATAAAGAAACATACTTTATTTCTAGCTATGGGATTGGTATGGATACTGTCAATACTATGTATGGTTCCATTAATGATTGTAGCACGACCTGTAGGGGTYTTCTGCTTGGAAAAATGGCCGACAGATGAGCTTCGTAAGGCTTACACCGCAGCGCTTTTTGTTCTTCAGTTTGCTATGCCAATCACTGTGATTGCAGTGGCTTAYATTACCATTGCAGTAACACTTGTAAAGACTAAAGTACCAAACAGGACATCGGTAAACCAACGAGGGCAAGTCATCAAACAAAAAACAAGAGCGGACAATATTCATGTAATTCGCACTGTTGCAATCATTGTAATACTATTTGTAATTTGTATGTTACCTAATCAAATAGCGTGGATTTTGATGGATTTTGGAGGCAAGAAATACCAGGATTTRTCAGAAAAGTTTTGGTTATTAGCTGAAGCATTGATGTTCTTTCATAGTGGCGTKAAYCCCATTATTTACGGTACTCTAACAAGGCAGTTTCGTGAAGGATACATTCAGTATYTRAGGTACGTCTTCTGCTGTGGACGTCGCTACACCCTTCACGGCATGACGATGACTTCACAGAACAATTTTACAAAATCTCGAGTCGCTGGCGGTAGATTAGGTAATGTTTCATTCAAGTCACCAACTACTGTTAATGGAATCAGAACRAGTTRTCAAGCTGGTCCAACTGTAATAACCTCGAGTCGTTACGGAACATCTCTTTCTCCTCCGAGTCCAGCACGATCTGCCGCGAGTTCAGTCCGATCACAYCCGAGTTCAGTACGATCATATCCGAGTCCAGTACGATCATATCCGAATTCAAAAGAATTTCCAACGGGGTCCAAGCGATTCAGMTCGWGTTTGWYAAGCGGAATACCGAATGAAAGTCGACCATCGAGTTCTTTGATTATAGACAACAAGACAGTCATWGATGCAAAACTAACTTCCGTTACGATTAACGACATTAATCTAAAATATAAAGATGAGAGTTCTGAGAGCCACATCAGAAAAGGAAACAGAAATAGTGTCTCCAAACAAAAACTATCAAGTAAGGATAGTAAAATCTCTAYAACAAAGTTAAATGGCGAATGTCGTGAAAGTACAGTGCTAAAAAACCCTAATGTGCACGACAAACACCATGACAGGAAAGGAACAATGGATTATTCTCTGCAGAGTAGTACTAGCCAATCAGAGGACACTGCTAAGATCAGCCAATCAAGAGAAACCAATAGAATTAGCCAATTAGAAGAKACTGCTAGGATCAGCCAATCAAAAGAAACAAATAAAATTAACCAATCAGAAGAGACCTCCATTCATCATAAAATGGATGATAGTACTTCAAAG